CTTCAGGAGTGCTGCTGCAACCACCCTCGAAGGTCGAAGCTCCTGTCGATCTCTACTACTTGAGAGTAGATTTGGTGGTGGAGACTGGAGAGGGAGTTGATTTGGGGAGGAAGAGATGAAAGAACATGTTAAAGGAAGAACAAAGGGGAAAGTTTAGCAACTTGGGGTACTTTATTACTTTCCAATGGAAAGCGAATATGGTGCACAATCCAAATTTTGGATTCACAAGGCGGGAGAAACTATTACAACCTTTCCACATGGTTGGTTTCTGAAAAAGTCAGTGGACCCTGCCACCGTGGTTCTCCTATCAGTGCCAACTGTACTAGTTTCCCTAGGAGCAAGCAAAAACTCTAGGGATCATCTCAGTTCCCTTGAGTTTTAGTTTCGGCTCTAGGGAACTTATTATCCCCTTGGGTTCTAATTAGGGCTCTAGGGAACATTTGAAAACCCTAGGGACCCCGTGGAATTCCAGTAGTGTCTATTATGCAAGTAACTTAAAAAAATAAAAATAAAATAACTTGCTATAGCATTAAAAAAAGGGTTAATTGGATCTATGCCACTGCAAATGTGGCAAATAAAAAATATGCCACTACTATTCAAGTTATCTACTAAAGTATATCTTATGCTAAAGTTAACCAGAAAGATATTCTATCTAATACACCTTTTGCTCTTTAGTTTGCGCTTTCGGTTTTATATTGAGTTTGATATTTCGCGAGCGAATTCAGCAATGAGCTTAGATGGTTACCGTTTTATTTGGATTTTATTAAGACATCATCCAACAAAATATTTTGCTTTGTCACGCTTAATAGCCGATACAATATCTAGCCCGCTTGTTCGTACACTTCACCATTTTTTTAATCACAAAATAATAATAATAAAATATTTATTTCATACAAAGTATATGTCCAATATGTTTTTATATATGTGCGAAGTACACTATGACACTTCCGTTGTAATGCATGAACCCTAGGTCCTGATCCACATTAATGCATTGTATTGTTCCTTCATGGTTGCCGAATTTTGACGTACAATGATGTTCTTTTCTGTACCGTTCAAGGTTGATACCAAGGTTGCTAAACCATACTGTGGGTGTTTTGGATGGTTTTGAAAAACAGCTTAACCTATGGGCGTATTATATAACAATTAACAAAGTCGTTGGTATATTGTAAAAAGAGACAATGTCAGTGGTAAATCGTTGAACTGAAAGAAACGCAGTGGCATAGAGTACATTCTCTCCTATCTTTGTATCTTTGTCCAACAATACAAATGATACGATTATGTATCTAGATAATCCATGTATTTTGGGATGCAAGTACTATGTAAAGAGTGTTATTTGATTAAAAAATTTAAAAAATGGCTGAGCACGCAGATCACCCGTGCAGATTAGCTTGCAAATAAATTTAGTCTGTTTAATTATATATCCGTGATAAAATTTTCCAACCTACCCTTTCATTTATACTTCTACATATGCTTATCCGTATGGTTTATTCTCACCTGAAAAATAATTTTTGAGTAAACCTTCTATGTGTGTGTTATTGGTGATTCAAATGCGAATGCTTTAAAATAAACTGTAATGAAAAAACACAAAATTAACTTCAAAACTAAGCTTCAAAATCCAATTTTTGCCTTATAAGCATAAGTATATCTTATGCTAAAGTTAACTAGAAAGCTATTCTATCTAATACACCCTTTGCTATTTAGTCCGCGCTTTCAGTTTTATATTGAGTTTGATATTTCGCGAGCGAATTCAGCAATGAGCTTAGATAGTTACCGTTTTATTTGGATTCTATTAAGACATCATCCAACAAAATATTTTGCTTTGTCACGCTTAATAGCCGATATAATATTTAGCCCGCTTGTTCGTACACTTCACCATTTTTTTATCACAAAATAATAATAATAAAATATTTATTTCATACAAAGTATATGTCCAATATGTTTTTATATATGTGCGAAGTACACTATGACACTTCCGTTGTAATGCATGAACCCTAGGTCCTGATCCACATTAATGCATTGTATTGTTCCTTCATGGTTGCCGAATTTTGACTTACAATGATGTTCTTTTCTGTACTGTTCAAGGTTGATACCAAGGTTGCTAAACCATAATGTCTGGTGTTTTGGATAGTTTTGAAAAACAGCTAAACCTATAGGCGTATTGTATAACAATTAACAAAGTCGTCGGTATATTGTAAAAAGAGGCAATGTCAGTGGTAAATCGTTGAACTAAAAGAAACGCAGTGGCATAGAGTACATTCTCTCCTATCTTTGTATCTTTGTCCAACAATACAAATGATACGATTATGTATCTAGATAATCCATGTATTTTGGGATGCAAGTACTATGTAAAGTGTGTTATTTGATTAAAAAATTTTAAAAAATGGCTAAACCCAAGAGCGTATTGTATAACAAAGTCGTCAGTACATTGTAAAGGAGATAATGTCAGTGGTAAATCATTGAAATGAGACAAACACAGTGGCATAGAGTACATTCTCTCCTATCTTTGTATCTTCATCCAACAATACAAGGGATACGATTATGTATCTAGATAGGCCCTGTATTTTGGGACGCAGGTACTATGTAAAGTGCGTTATGTGATTAAAAAATTAAAAACTGGCTGAGCACCCAGATCACCCATGCAGATTAGCTTGCAGATAAATTAACTCAGTTTAATTGTATAAGTGCGATAAAATTTTCTGACCTATTGGTTTATTTATGCTTATGCTTATGCTTATCCCTATGGTTTATTCACAACTGAGAAAGAATTTTTGAGTAAACCTTTTATATGTGTGTTGTTGGTGATTCAAATGTGAATGATTGAAAATAAAAGATGATGAAAAAAGCACAAAATTAACTTCAAAACTAAGTTTCGAAATTTAAATTTTGGCTTATAAACTTAAGCATATCTTATGCTAAAGTTAACCAACAAGCTATTCTATCTAATACCCCCTTTGCTCTTCTGTCTGCACTTTCGGTTCATATTGAGTTTGATATTTCACGTGTGAATTCAGCAATGAGATTAGATGGTTACTGTTTTATTTGAATTTTATTAACACATCATCGAACAAAATATTTTGCTTTGTCATGCTTAATAGCCGATACGATATATCTAGCCCTACCGTTTCTACACTTCGCCATTTGATTTCACAAAAAGTATATGTGCTATATATTTTTATATTTGGGTGAAGTACATCCCGAAACATCTGCTGTAATGCACGAATCCTAGGACATTACGTATATTTGTGTAGTACTGTACCTGCATGGCTGCCAAATTACATTGAATAGTGTTGATATTTTCTGTACTGTCCGAGGATGATACTGCGGTTGCTTAGAGCACCCGCAATGGTAAAGTAAGGTGCTATCTATAAAACATGTACATCTCAGCAATAGATTCGATTAATAGTAAACCACCTTAATAGTATGTCTACATTGGTATCTATAGCTCTCTCATGCATTGTCTCGTTTTTCTCTATAGACTATCTCTAAGTTAGTAGATAGCTTTGCTCTCTCTCTTCATTTAATACATTCCAAGTAAGAAAATATGCTGACATGGATCTTTTGTAGAGAGCCTATAGATAACCATTGTGGGTGCCCTTAGGCTGTGTTTGACATCCCCTTTTCCCAACCCCTCTCCCTCGTTTTCCGTGCACACGCTTTTTAAACTGCTAAACGGTGTGTTTTTTACAAATATATATATATATATATATATATATATATATATATATATATGTATATATATATGTATATATATACATACGATAGTTGCTTAAAAAATCAAATTAATCCATTTTTAAAAACCATTTAGCTAATACTTAATTAATCACGCGCTAATGACCGCTTCATTTTCCGCGCGTACTGTTCCGGTTGGGAACATGGACTGGCGAACACAGCCTTAATCTTCTTAATCTTGTTTGTATTTAGGAAAAGGTACGAAATACCCCCCCGAACTATCGCGGTCGTCTGAATTACCCCCCTGAACCACAAAACCGGATATTCTTCACCCCCAACTATACAAACCGGACGAATTACCCCCCTCGACCTAATCCGCGGTGGTTTTAATCTACGTGGCGCACACGTGGCAGTCCAGTCAGCATTCTATTTTAAAAAACAAAGTGGGAGCCCCCGTCATACGCTCTTCTATCTCTCACTCTCCTCACTCTTCCTCTCTCTCTCTCACGGTGAGCGCCAGGCGGGCGTAGCGGCTGAGGGCGGGGGCCTCGGCGCGGAGGCAGCGGCAGCGGGGGCGGCGGCTGAGGGCGGGGGCGGCGGCGCCGGTGGTGGACTGGTGGTGCTGCCGCCGCATCGCCACTTGGCCTAGACGGCGGCTGAGGACGGCGGCCTCGGCGTGGAGGCGGCGGCAGCGTGGCGGCGGCCTCGCGCGGAGCTGCGGCGACGTCGGACGGTAATGTGGAGGCGGCGGCTGAGGGCGGCGGGGCCGGCGGAGGTGCCGCCGGTGGTGGTGCTGCCGCCGCGTTGCCGCTCGGCCTAGACGGCGGCCTTGGCGTGGAGCTGCGGCGGCGTCGGCGCGGAGCTGAGGGCGGCGGCCTCGACGCGGAGCTGCGGCGGCGTCGGATGGTGATGCGGAGGCGGAGCTCGCGGTTGCAGCGCTTCCTGCCGTTGCCCCCCTCACCGTCTCTTCCAGGATCCCGCCGCCCTCGCCGCCGCCGGCCGCCGTCCTCGGCTCCTCGCCCGTATACTCAAAACTTGGAACTCACCAGTGCATGCACTTGTTCGATCTGCTTGATTCACATGCTCCTTGCTCAATTTGGGTTCCATTAGTTGATCAAACACCTGAGAAATCGAGATGGATGAAGCTGACATGGGCCATTCTTGGTGGCGTGCAGATGTCGGCGTTCATGGGCCGCAGCCCCCGCCGCCCTCAGCCGCCGCCTCCGCATCACCATCCGACGCCGCCGCAGCTCCGCGCTGAGGCCGCCGCCCGCCGCTGCCGCCTCCTCGCCGAGGCCGCCGTCCTTAGTCGCCGTCTAGGCCGAGTGGCGATGCGGTGGCAGCACCACCAGTCCACCACCGGCGACGCCTCTGCCGCCCTCAGCCACTGCCCCCGCTTGGCGCTCACCGTGAGTGAGAGAGAGAGAGGAAGAGTGAGGAGAGTGAGAGAGAGAGAAGAGAGATAGAAGAGCGGATGACAAGAGGGTCCCACTTTTTTTATATATAGAATGCTGACTGGACTGCCACGTGTGCGCCACGTAGATCAAAACCACCGCGGATTGGGTCGAGGGGGGTAATTCGTCCGGTTTGTATAGTTGGGGGTGAAGAATATCCGGTTTTGTGGTTCAGGGGGGTAATTCAGACGACCACGATAGTTCGGGGGGTATTTCATACTTTTTCCTTGTATTTAAGGGTATTCTGGGTTTTTTTGAAAAAAAGTTCAACCCAACGGCGCATTATTGATAGTTGATAAAGTCATCGGTATATTATACAGACGGACAATAATCAGTGTTAAATCGTTGAACATGAAAAACTCAATATTGAGTACATTCTCTCGTATCTTTGTATCTATATCCCAAAATACAAGGGACGGACGCAGTATGTAAAGGGTGTTAGGTGATTAAAAAATTTAAAATGATGGTTGAGCACCCATATCACCCATGCAGATTAACTTCAGATAAATTAAGTCCGTTCAATTGTATAAACACGACAATTTGTTTCAGCTATATCGTCTCATTTATACTTATGCTTATGTTTACCCGTATGGTTTATTCGTAACTGGAAATTAATTTTTGAGTAGAACTTGTATATATGTGTTATTGGTAATTCAAATGTAAAGGTTGTAAAATAAACTACGATGAAAAAACACAAATTTAATCCCAAAATTAAGTTTTAAAATTCAAATATAGGTTTATAAGTATAAGCATAAGCGAAATGATGGCTCTCTTTGTCCGATTTTTAGCTTGGGGAAGCACCTTTTAGAGCAGGTACAATAGCAGGCTATAAGCCAGCTGCAAACATATTTTAAAGAGATAAATAAGGAGATATAAGGGCAGCGGGCTACAGATTTATAGCCAGCTGTAGCACAGACTCCAAGACACTGTGTGTATAACAAGTGGGACCAGGTATTAATACTTTAGTATGTAACTATTGTATGAATGAGCTATTAGATTGGCTATAGATAAATTGGAGCTAGTAGTTGGCTATACTATTGAACTTGCTCTTAGAAAATCCTTCGTATCCTCAGAACAATTGTTAGCTGTTAATTAATGAGTCTTGCATCAAATTGCTCATATAATTAAACAGTAGATTGTATCAGTCCCATCAATCATTACACTTAGAAGTTTGATGTGAAATTATTGAGTATTGGATAAAATAAAGTAAACCAAATATAACAACAAAGTTATAGTTATAATGATGCAAAGTTGCAGATTACATAACACTGTGGGTTTAAGTTTGGCAAAGTGCAGTCTTTTCCAAAAGCATAATATATTCGATTCTCAATGATGTGAAAACTACAAGGGAACATGTCACCTGTGATTGTTCATAAGCTTCATTTCTGTCGGATAAGCGACTCGTCAGTGATCAGAAATCCTCATATATACTGACTCATCACAAATGAGTCATCTTCCACTGATTACTCGACGGTCCCTAACTTACCGCTTGTAAATGGTAACAATTCACAATGTACAGTCACTAGTAACAAAAAAAAAAAAGAATCGATGGAACATCTTGATTTTCGTATTTTAAATGCACAAAAAAGAGCAAAATAATATTTTGAATTTTATTAGCCATCTATCTATGGTCAGGCATCACTAGCCACAAAACTATGATTTTTTCCTTTAAAATATAAATGCATGTGGATCAGAACCCGAAACCTCTGTGTCTCCATGAAGAGCATCTTTACTAACTTTTACATAGGGAAAGCCTCCATTCAAGGTCATTTGAAGAATTCCCCTTTCTGTATTTGAAAGACCTTGTAAATAAATTCAAATGAAAATGTTATCAATTATAAACTTCTAGAACTCATTGTTCTATACAACTCTGATATAGGCACTGTTAGATCCCACATAAAAATTTTACACCCTGTCATATCGAACACCTGCATAAAATATTAAATATAGTCTTAAAAAAATAACCAATTGGACAGATTGTGACTAATTTGCGAGACGAATCTTTTGAGCCTAATTGCTCCATGATTTAACAATGTGGTGCTACAGTAAACATTTGCTAATAACGGCTTAACTAGGCTTAATAAATTCGTCTCGCGGTTTACTGACGGATTCTGTAATTAGTTTTTTTTATTAGTGCCCAAATACCCCATGCGACACTCTATATAATATCCGATATGACATGCCAAAACTTTACATCCATGGATCTAAACACCCCCATAGGAGCAGGTACAATAGCACACTATTAGCCAGCTATAAACATATTTTAATGAGATAAACGATGAGAGAGAAGAGCAGCGGGCTACAGATCTGTAGCCAGCTGCAGCACGGACTCCAAGACACATCACAATGTGTGTATGACAGGTGGGACCATATATTATATGAATTGGCTATTAGATTAGCTACAGATGAATTGGAGTTAGCAGTGGGCTATACTACTATTAAACTTGCTCTAGTGCATCTCTAGATCAGAGGTGGTTTAAAGTATTCAAAATTTTGTCTAACAAAACAGATCCCATCACCAATCGTGTGGTATGATCAATTGTATTATAAAAAGGGCTGGAGTGGCGAGCGGAACACACGGTATAGGTAGGTGTGACCCTACTTTTAGATGGCTGCGGTACAGGAAACGTCGAAGGGGTGCTGCGGCGGCTGTGCTCCCTGGCCAGCAGTCACCACCGCTGCCTCTGGCGTCATCAAGGTCCCGTTTGAAGGTACGCAGCTTTTTCCTCGTCTCCTTGAACGTCCTTGCGTGCTTTGCTTACCAAAAACTCTTTCCCATGCACTGATGGATTGATGATACCACATATGGCGACTCTTAGGCCCTGTTGGTTTTTGGATTAAAATGGCACATTTTTTAAATTGCTAAACGGTACATTTCGTGTGAAAATTTTTTATATAAAAGTTGTTCTAAAATATCATATTAATCTATTTTTCAAGTTTGTAATAATTAAAATTCAATTAATCACATGTTATTACCACCTTGTTTTGCGTGAAAAACTTAATCTTCATCTTCAGAAGATTCAAACACCACCTACTTTACTTTTTATGCAAATTTTAGGCCGTGTTTAGTTGCTTTGGCAAAAAAAGTTTTACGTATACGAACACACATTTGAAACGTAGACTAATAATAAAACAAATTATAGATTCCGCTTGTAAACTGCGAGACAAATTTATTAAGCCTAATTAATCCATCATTAGCAAATGTTTACTGTATCACCACATTGTCAAATCATGGCATAATTAGGCTCAAAAGATTCGTTTCGCAATTTACATGCAAACTGTGCAATTGGTTTTTTTTCATCCATATTTAATGCTCTATATATATGTCCAAACTTTTGCACATGCATAGAGCATTAAATGTGGACGAAAAAAAACCAATTGCACATTTTGTTTGTAAATTACAAGACGAATATTTTAAGTCTAATTACGCCATGATTTGATAATGTGATGCTACAGTAAATATTTACTAATGTAGGATTAATTAGGCTTAATAGAATTGTCTCGCAGTTTACAGGTGAAATCTATAATTTGTTTTGTTATTAGTCTATATTTAATATTTCAAATATGTGTCCTTATACTTCAATTTCTTTTTTGAAAAGTAACTAAACACCGCTATAATAGGATGCTCGCTCTGTACACATACTCTACGACAAATAAATAAGCATTTTTATATTTTTGTGGGACTGACATGTACTATACCTCCTTGATATGGGTCCAAGCTGTCAGCACTCAGCACGTCTAGGCGCTCGCGCCTAGCGGGCGGCTGCAGAAGCACTGGCTTCCTTCTCTCACATTGCCTTTTCTATTCCACATCAGATCGAGACATCATCTGCTGGATAATCGTCTACTTCCTCTGTTTTAAAATATAAACATCCTAAAATATAAGCATTTTTAATCTCGTGACGGTCTTCGAGATACTATTTTGATCAACAATATCTATAAAAATAAAATATTTTAAATAAAAAAACTTGCATATTATAATAGTTTGATTAATGATAAATCTAGTAACGTTAATTTTATATGATTGATCTTTTTTATTTTATTGATATTAATAGTTAAAGTTAAAAATGGTTGACCTGGCACTATGCAAAAAATCTTATATTTTGGGATGGAGGGAGTACTTATTAGACAGGACTAGCTATCCATCACACGACATATTTTTGGGTCCAAATCACACAGATTTTAGATTAGTTGGATTAGGCTCATTTGATCACTTGATTAGAAGAGTCTATTCATGTATCAACATATATTAATTATATATATTGCATATATTTTATTTGTTAGATCTTTACATTGAAAAAAATATTTCACCAACTCATCTACTAAAAGTTACAGTGTAATTATACTATAGTTACACTGTAACTATAGTGTATTTACAGTGTAACTATAGTGTAATTATAGTACACTTCCATGTCATATCAACTAAACTTACAAATATAATCTTAGTTATATAGGATTGTAATTTTATATTTTAAAGGAAATAACAAGTACATATTTACTTACACAATATTTGTACCAAAATTACAGTTCACTTACATGTCATATCAACCGAATTTACGAATGTAATTTTAGTTATATAGTACTGTAACTTTATATTTATTTCTTCAATCTTTTCACCTAGCCGCAACGACGTGCAATGTATGTACTCATCAATTATGTGCCAAGCTAGATGTTGCTGGCTCATGCGTGCGTGGGAAGGAAACGCATCACAGCCGCTAATTAAATCATGCACAGACTAATCCAAGGGAAGTAAATCCGAGTGATTTCGAGCCAAAAATTTATCGCCAGATTTTTAGCAAAATCGTATTAGACTTGCTCTAACGGGTGGAGGCCCGTGCGTTGTATACGTTATTTTTAATGATACTATAAATATTAATATTTTATGATTATTTAAATCACTAATATTAATTAGGATATACTAAGCGTTACGCACGTATTAGTGCTACCGAAGTAAAACTCATATAGAGGTTTTATGGTATCCTTGGGTAGGTATGTTCCTCTCTATTGTTTTAGTAGTAAAGAAATTATTTGTTTGAACTGATTATAAGTATGATTGGTAATGACGGAGCTTTTCTTATTCTCGGGAAGTATATAGAAGTGTATAGGGGTATATATACTAAAATTGTAAGTTATGAGGTATATACCTCCTGACTAACACATGTACTTGTATATATCTATATATATTAAAAAACAAAATAAAATTTTAAAAATATTTTTTTTACCATGAATACTGCCAGGGCTTTGTCCAGCAGTTTAATTTTATAAATAAATTTCAAAAATATTTACAAAGATAAAGTCCACACATGCTGCAACTTGGTAATTATTAATCTCGAAATAATAAATCGATTTAAGAAAGGGCTAAGCTAAGAACTCAGTACGTGAATAATCCCATATTCTAGAAAAAAAATATTTGTAAAGAGTCCATGCATGCTGTCACCCACGGCATGTTTTATTAACAAAGGCCCTGTTTAGTTTCTAAAACAAAAATTTTCACGCAATTACATCGAATGTTTGGATACATGCATGGAGCATTTAATGTAGGAAAAAACCAATTACACAAATTGTGAGGCAAATCTTTTAAGTCTAATTGCGTCATAATTTGATAATGTGGTGCTACAGTAAACATTTGCTAATGACAGACTAATTAAGCTTAATAAATTCATCTCGTAATTTTCTGGTAAAATCTGTAATTTGTTTTGTTATTAGACCACATTTAATGTTTTAAATGTATATCCGTATATCTGATGTGATAACCAAACACAACAAATTTTCCCCAACTAGGCAAGGCCAAACTCTCGAGATGATCTGTGATAATGGTATTACAATCCACACCTTGAATCATTCTGACTAACGTACATGAAGTACACAAAAAGCTCTTTCGGTAGGCAAGTTTAAGAGCAGGTATAGTAGTAGGCTATATAAGTCAGCTATAAACATATTTTAAAGAGATAAAAAAAGAGAGAGAAAAACAGCGGGCTACAGATCTATAGCCAGCTGCAGCACAGACTCTAATACGTAATATGTGTATGATAGATGTGGTCAGGTATTAATAGTATATTAAGCAACTATTGTATAAAATGGCTATTATATTGTCTATAGATTATTTGTAGCTAATAGTGGGCTATTTTATTAAACTTGCTCTAATAAATAATTTCGAGTGTTCTTGATTAACGCTAAAAAAGATGGAAAAGCTATACCAGACTTGTGGGGTTGTGCGCGTGCGGCGTGCATCGACGTGTCGTTGGCCTCCAGCTAGCTACTCCGTACTTGGCAGCACGCTTGCCGATGTTGGTCCAGTGCCGCTTCCAAGTGTGAAGTTAGAGCAGGTATATAAGCTAGCTATAAACATATTTTAAATAGATAAAGTAAGAGAGAGACGAACAGCTACAGTACGGACTATAAAACGTAATGTGTGTGTGATAGGTGAGACTAGGTATTAATAGTATAATAAGTAACTATTGTATAAATTGACTATTACATTGACTATAGATAATTTGGAGCTAGTAGTGGGATATACTGTTAAACTTGCTCTTAGAACATCTCAATCCTCAAGTTTAAGGTTGTGTTCTTCTCATAGTTGATTCAACTCACATCTTTTCAAACCGCTAAACGGTGTATTTTTTTTAAAAAAGTTATATATGGAAGTTGTTTTTACAAAAAAATCATATTAATCTATTTTTTTAAAAAATAGTTTATACTTAATTAATCATGTAATAATAAATATTTCGTTTTGCATGCTAGAGAGAGGGCACTTAGTTTTGGTGGAGTTAAGAAATAAAGTTTACTTCTGGTTGTAATTCACCACGGCACGATTGTAGTAGTTGTGTTGCCAATTTTTCCTTTTCTTTATAATATTTATAGCCTATGTGCATCCTAATTATAAAGAGGCCGAGGGTGGTCTTAGAAAAATTATATCCTTTCGTTGTGTTTGTTTAAGATCAATAAAACACTTTTTATTAAATTAGAAAGGTGCCGCTTTGAATTCCCCTAATTATTTCCGATAGAGTTATAAGCAAACAGTCTTTTGACTGAGAAAAAATAGCAAGCAAGAGATGTCTCAACGGAGTAATGGAGATGCGGCGTGGATGTTCGTCGCATTAATCACTCTGCTCGATCGTGTTGGTTGAGTGCAGATTGTACTCGATCCACATGATGGACTAGGACGACCGGACGTAGAATTGATGGGATTTGGAAGGAAGGTTAGCCCGTCCGTCTTATTTGAAAAAATTATAAAAAAATTAAAAAGACAAGTCACGCATGTTTTATCATCTAACAACAATGAAAATATAAATTATAAAAAAATTCAGATAAGACGGACAGTCAAAGTTAGACACGGAAACAAACAGTTTGCCTTTTTTTAGGACGGAGAAAATAGATCATTATTGCCAACTACTATGTCAAATCATTGTAGATTTCTTTCCCCGCAAAAAAAAATCATTGTAGATTTCTGGTTTTGATTTTACGATCCGTCCGATCAATGGTCAGTTTTTTTTTAAACGTGAGCTACTAAAAAGTTCAATTAATATAAGTTAGTATATAGATAGATACATCGGATATTTTGCAGAACACACGTTAGAATATGGTGCAATTACAATGAGTAGCTTGAATAGGTTAAAGAAATATATGCCAGGATTGATAGGAACGAGAGGGAGGAGGCGGCGGCGCGTGGCGGCGACGGCGGGAGAGGGGAAGGGAGAGGCTGAGGGAGAGAAGGGGGCGGCGGCGGCTAGGGTTTGGGGGTAGTAAGGGTTAGTGCGCGTCGTTTTGCGAAAAAGCCCATCGGCTTTCAAATTTTACAGCGCCATCCTTATTCGCGATTTTTCCCTCGTTCGAATGTAATATCCAACTTTTATAAGGTCCTATACGTAAAATAACTTCTCGAAGGTACTGTTCTGTAGGGACCTACTTCGAATTACGAACAAACCGGACAGCTTTTTAGCAAAAATCCACCCCGCACACTGTAGCAATCCGACGTGGCGTAGCTCAGCGGCCGCCCCTTCCGCCACACTTAATAGTTTCTAATGATTAGCGGTCATGACGTCCAAGTTGCAGGACTCTCTATTCTTCCGCATGTCATCGTGATATAAAGTACGTTGGCCTCTATTCTTCCACATGTCATTGCTGAACTCCATATACTATCTATACAGCTATCAGCCCGCAATGCCCATCTATGTTACCCAGATATGGGGATACGGATACGGAGACGCGATACGTTGATACGGGGATACACCATTTTCCAGAAAATATGGATACGGGGATACGCCCATATATATATATTTATATATAAGAAAATTATTAATTCTTGAAAGAAAATAGCCGATTACAATGTAGCAATCTTTTGTAATGATCTCTTGTAGTTGATTCAGGTGGAGACTAGTTGAGAAATAGCACCAGTAGTAAACAGATATCCATCGATTAAAAAAACTCTGTATTTCAGCATACTCTGACTTTTCTTCTTCTTCTCTAACACTTAAACATATCACCACATCCCACAACGGCTTCTTCTCACTATCATTTGGATGAATGATGAATTTGCTGCTAGATTAGCAGCCGCGCTAGCTCTAGATGCATTGACACTTCTAGTCACAATAATCATCAGATCTATAATATTATATATATATATACTCAAGCATCGAAGAGGCCAACAAGAAAACAGGAAAGGGGAACAAGAATAGATAAAATCACAAGCAGACTCAAGCATCGAAGAGGCCAACAAGTCAATCGTTGAATGGAACTTGCCTAACTGGGGAATGAAGGAATCAAGTCAGTGGCTGCGACGGCGGCGATGTTGTGCCATGTTGGCGTTGCGTCCGGTGGTGGAGGCGATGAATACACCCAGACACAGATATGCATTCAGCGCCTGAAGGCCCGACATGCAGCTACGGTGCTGGCGGCGTTGCGCTCGGCGTTTGGTGGCGGTGCTGAGTTCAGCCTTCGGCATGGTGGACGGCGGCGCCGACGATGGGAAAGTGCCGCGAGGTGGTCGGCCTCGGGCGAGAAAAGTGGAGGCAGCGCATTCATCCTTACTAGGGATGAAGCCATACGGACGTATCGAGAACGTATCTGATTTATTTTAATTATTCGAAAATTGTGAAAATCACTGATACGTACGGGATACGTATCGGACCGTATCCGATACTTATCCGTATCCCTTCACGCATCCGATACGGATACGACGCTTTCTGGACGTATCCAGGTAACGTAGATGCCCATTAAAGCGAATACATTTGTAGGACCAAATACAATAACCAAACCTACCAAATAGGTAGAATAACCAAAATCAAATCTTTTTGGGAAACTAAAAGATTACCCTCAAACTTGATGAAGTTCCAATGGTTCAACCGCCAGATAAACCTCGATCAGACAGGATCTAAGCCGCCGGTCTGACAGGTTTGATATTGTCTGTCAGACCGCTGCCTTGCCACCGGTTAGACCGTCAGTCGATCATCTTGCCTTCTTGGGGCCGCCACCACCACCGCCGGTCTAACCACACGTTGTATTCCGGTTAGACCGTCGGGATCCAGCAAAACACAAACATATGAAACTCTTGAAAGTAGATCAAATTTATTGCAATAATATATATTTATAAAGTGCATCGAAAGCACACATCTCTCAACTCACAAACTATAATCGAAATCTCGAAGCAAACCTTAACTTTTGTCTCCCTAAAAAGTCAATATCTTCTAGCCTCAACCCCTCATCTATTTACGCCCACAATGTGGCTACCCCTAGCCACGAATCCAACTAGAATTAGGACTCCTAATCAAATAGGAAACCTACCAAATTAGGGAAACAACATCGCCATACAACTCCACATTCAAATCTTTCCAAATATGGACTTCAATCCAAATTTGACTACTCTTTCCATGCGTACACGACACCACGTGTATGCCATATTACATGCATTGTTGCCTAGCCTAAGCATCCAGCGTGATATCCTTGACCATCTGGACCTCATCTTCTCCCAAGCCTAGTCCTGATTCATCATTGGGATATCGAAAGCCTTCCGATATACTCGTTGATAGTCGTATCCATCACAGATGAGATCATCGTGATGAAGCACTTTGGCCTGTTATAGGTGGGCTAGCGTGGTGCAACGAACTACGGAGGGCTTGCCTAAACTGCAATCAATTTAAAAAGTTAGACTTAGAAAAAAGTCAAGCATCATTATAATATAAAACAGAGGAAGTGTCTATCAACGAGATCTGCATCCACCTCCTCAAGCTTCATCTCAGTTTGGTTTCGTGTATAATTTATCGCATTTCCATAAAACCCTGATCTTCCCGCATATCAGGATAGTTTACGAACCCTACACAATCAAAATTGGGACTACTTTTCGGGCTAGTCAAGAGCATTATAAGTTTTGCTGGTCCTTAACCACGAGCCTAGCTGTTTGAATACATTATTTTCTCGCAACTCGGTAACGCACCAAACACATAAGACTATTGCACAGGGAGAGAAATTTATTGCTGGCCTTTAAAGTTCTACATAGGGGGAGAAACAATTTCAGGCGTCGAGATCATCGCGAGGACACAGAGAAGCCACCCCTTAGACCCACTATCGGCTGCTGAAATTGCTGTGGCTGTAACAACTGTCAAAGCTGCTGCAAGTACTCCTGAGGTCTGTCCACCTACTTCTACTGTTGGCTAGTACTACCCCTTAATTTTATACAAATATGCTATATATTCTTTGAATAAATAATTTACAAGTAACTTACAACATATATATAGGTCCGAGATGGCATGCGTTTTGTTGAAGTTGCGCTCCTGGAACCAGAAAAGAATGTTGTGGCATTAGCTGATGCATACTTTTTCCCACCATTCCAACCATCACTGCTTCCTGGAAACAGAAATGCTCCTATCATTCCAACCAAGCTGCCACCAAGCAGGGCCAAGCTTGTTGTCTACAACAGACAGACAAATGAGACTAGTATTTGGATTGTAGAATTCTCTGAAGTGCATGCTGATAGTGATACTAGGGGTGGATATGAGAGAGGAGGCAAGCTCGTATCATCAGAGGTTGTTCCCGATGTTCAGCCTGCGATGGTATGTTTCCACTTTCTGTATATTTGTTAGGCACAATTCTATTGATTTTGATCATTTTATTCAATCCATTTGACACTTAATTACTGCTGATTTGAAAGGCCATAATTAATCCAAATTTATTGTCTAATGAACATGTAGTTGAATCCTGATATTTACCTGATCACCTCTTATAAATTATGTCTGGTTTGCTGTGCTATTTTCCTCAAAAACTATTACCCGAATGACAGAATCTTAGCTGGAAGCATTGAGAAAATTTCGCAATACATTTTTATATTTGGTCAAGTACTAGATTTATTTGAATTTTTCTAGTTCTCATGTGTATAAATTTTTCAGGATGCCATGGAATTTGTTGAGTGTGAAGCTACTGTAAAAAGCCACCCCCCTTTCATTGAAGCCATGAGAAAAAGAGGAATTGATGACATGGATCTTGTCACAGTAGATCCATGGTAAGCTAGCTAATTTGTTTCATTTATGTTGTTAATAAACGTTGTATACAACATTATCGTTCAGCTCTTGTTGCAGGAACAATAGAGCCTTTAAACATAATTCCTTTTCTGCTTGAATACAGGTGTGCAGGATATTACAGTGATGCTGATGCTCCCAGTAGAAGAATCGCCAAACCTCTGGTGTTCTGTAGAACTGAAAGTGATAACCCTATCGAGAATGGCTATGCACGACCTGTTGAAGGGGTTCATATTATCGTTGATATGCAGAACAATACGGTGATAGAGTTCGAAGATAGGAAGCTTGTCCCTCTTCCCCCATCAGATCATTTGAGGAACTACACTTCAGGGGAAACACGAGGTGGTGTTGATAGAACTGATGTGAAGCCTCTAGTTATCAATCAACCTCAAGGCCCAAGTTTCCATGTCAATGGTTACCTTGTGGAATGGCAGAAGGTTAACTGGCTATCTATAGTGTTTACTGTTTTAATTTAATTATTGGCGTAGTAGTATCTAATAAAAATGATTAAAAAAACATTTTCTGTTGAACAGTGGAACTTTCGTATTGGCTTCACCCCTAAAGAAGGTTTAGTTCTTCATTCTGTTGCATATGTTGATGGAAACCGTGGCCGTCGACCTATCGCTCACAGGCTGAGTTTTGTTGAGATGGTTGTTCCTTATGGTGATCCAAATGAACCACATTATCGGAAGAATGCATTTGATGCTGGAGAAGATGGGCTTGGAAAGAACGCAAACTCTCTTAAAAAGGTTCTTATTTTGATGTTCCATATTAGCACCTCAGTGTAATATACTTGCCATAAATTTTAATATTAGATAATTTGATCTGATTGAGTGAACACAAAAGAGTGATTTACTAGGAACAATAGCTTCTTCCATTTATTTATTCTTTTTCTTATCATCTTTATGGAATTTCTCATTTCATTTTTTTTTAAAAAAGTTAAGGATTGAAATTGTGTTGATTATGCTTGGTGATGAATTAGTTTTACCGGGCCGATGACAAGAATGTATTTTATGGTTGCACCTATAGGCTGATTGGACTTAACTTTGTTATAATGTAGGGATGTGACTGCTTGGGTGTCATAAAATACTTTGATGCACATTTTACAAATTTTACTGGTGGCGTAGAGACCATAGAGAATGCTGTTTGCTTACATGAAGAGGACCATGGGATCCTCTGGAAACATCGAGATTGGAGAACAGGATTAGCTGAAGTTAGAAGATCAAGGAGGCTTACTGTGTCATTTATCTGCACGATTGCCAATTATGAATATGGGTTCTATTGGCATTTTTACCAAGTGAGTAATTAGTGAAATGTCTACACCTACAATCTATACTTACTTTAAAATTAGAATCCACTAACAATTATTAATTTCTAAAGCTCAACATTTAAATGTACCATGTGAACATTCACTCACTAGCAATTATTTTCTATTAAAGCTTAACATTTAAATATACCATATCATCGCCCCACTATTGAACTTGTGAAAACATCATCCTCCATATCATCTCCACAATCTTTTTAGCGTAGATCCCATTCCTATGATACCACTCAATGTATACATATTCCGCATTAAAGCACGATATATCAATTGTACTGAATAAGGGAGTAAACTATAGGTCTCCGGTTCCTTTTTTGTTTTTAACTTTTTATTTGGGTGGTGTTGATTCTGTTTGGGGGGTGGAGGCTCCTTAAATTGTGAAGTGATTGCCTCTTTTATGCGGATCATTTTTTTTTTCCTGGATGCAGGATGGTAAGATAGAAGCAGAAGTTAAGCTTACTGGAATTCTTAGTGTAGGAGCTCTAATGCCCGGGGAGCAGAGGAAATATGGTACTACTATTGCCCCTAGTTTGTATGCACCGGTGCACCAGCATTTCTTTGTCACCCGTATGGACATGGCAGTTGATTGCAAACCAAATGAGGCCTATAATCAGGTATGTTTGCCCATCATCCATGCATCTTAGTTGTCCACATGCATCGGCTACTTCCAGTATGATATTGTTCCATGCCCTATTATCTTGTTTATTTTTCGTGTAAATTCATCGTGAGTAGTGAATTTTCCATGCAATTTTGAGTGGAGCTATAATTTTAAATAATTGGGTTTGGGTCTGTTGGATATAACTCTAACTCTAGATCCACTTCTTCTAAAGCTAGAGCTCAGCCAAATAGTTTCAGCCTCACCTAGAGCTGGGGCAGAGCTGGGTTAAGTGTTCTCACAAAATGAGCTTGAGAGGTGGAGCTAGGTTTAGACTGCTCACAACTTTACTCCAGACCTAACTCCCAAAGCTAAATTTAGGAATTGGAGCTCTATCAAACACACCCTTGATATACACATACGACTATTAATCTATAACTTCTGTATATTTGGTACGCACGAACATGGAAGTATGCCACATCATCACCCACTAGCAATTAATATTCTAGCCCATTTTAAATTCAATGCAAGTCTTCTATATTATTACCCACTAGTAATTACACATCATCTATAATATTATATTATAGAGATCAATATACAAGTATGTCAAATCACCTTCCTCACATTATTTTTTCAATATTTTAAATTTCATCATTTCTACAATATTTAACATATACTCATTCGGCAAAGGGCGGAATATCTTCTAATTCTTTATGTTTTCACATACAACTCTTAGCTTATTCTCTCTACAATACTTTTTGAAAGAAGACTTGAATTTCTTATACAACTTTCAACATATCTTTAAATTGATCTACACTATTGTAGTCTAGGCCTACTACGAAAGGCCGATCAAAGTATTTTGTCTTACTCCGATTAATGCGAATAAGCATCCAGAAGGGACGTGGTGGTTTTGTTTTCCTTTAAAAAAACTAGTATCTTAATAAATACAAAAGATTACCTGTCTATATTATGCATAAACATGCTCTAAGCCGTTTTTTTTTGTTTCCTCAAAAGTATTCTAGTCTACTAGTACAAGTCTTGGAGACTTGAAGGCCTGCATTTCTTTGCATTATCGTGGTACGATTTTCATAACAATGTTGGCTTCCCTTTTCATCTCACAGGTGGTTGAGGTAAACGTCAACACGGAATGTGCTGGTCCAAATAATATGCATAATAATGCATTTTACGCGGAAGAAAAACTTTTGAAATCTGAACTCCAGGCCATGCGTGATTGTCACCCTTCATCTGCACGTTATTGGATTGTAAGAATTTGTGAGAGAAGCACTGTATCGTTCTTTTATAATTCACTAGCTACTGTGCATTGTAATTAGTGGATTTCCCGTGCAATTTTGTGTGGAGCTATATTTTTAAATAATTGGATTTGATTTTTTTATTTTTCCATATGCAACTCTTAGCTTATTATATGTACAATACTTTTTAAAAGAAGATCCGAATTTCATATACAACTTTCAACGTATCTTTAAATCGGTCTACATCATTCTAGTCTGGGCCTACTAGAAAGGCCGATCAAAGTATTTTGTCTTACTCCGTTTAATGTGAATATTTCTAAGCTTCTAGAAGGGACGTGGTTTTTCTTTAAAAAAACTAGTATCTAAATAACTACAGGAAATACAGGAATAGTATTATGTTCTACAATAAGCATTGGAGACTTCGTGAAGGCCTCGTGCTTTCCTCGGTTCGCTCGTCGACGGCGCCATGGACTAGTGGTGGGTGGACAGGAGAGAGAGGAAGGATGAGGCTAGGAGTGGTGGTGGGACCCATCTTTAGCCAGTTGAGGAGGCTGGCTATATTTGGCCAGCCGGAGGAGCAATTTAGCCATCCGGATGGCTGGAGAGTCTGTTGGAGCTTGTTTCTTTCCTGTGTTGGCTAAATTTTAACTTGGTGAGCTGAATAGAGAGTCTTTTGGAGATGCTCTAGGACCCTGTTTTAGTTGGGACTAAAACTTTTAAGTCCCTATCACATCAAATGTTTGGATATTAATTATAAATATTAAATGTAGACTATTAATAAAACCCATCCATAATCTCGGACTAATTCGCGAGACGAATCTATTGAGCCTAATTAATCCATGATTAGCCTATGTGATGCTACAGTAAACATTCTCTAATTATAGATTAATTAGGCTTAAAAATTGTCTCGCAAATTAGCTTTTATTTATGTAATTAGTTTTGTAAGTAGTCTATATTTAATACTCTAAATTAGTGTCTAAATACAGAGACTAAAGTTAAGTCACTGAATCCAAACACCACCTAACTTGCATCAAGCATTCAAGCTTGTGGATCTCAAGCTTTCTGTGTGGCCCTCTTGCATTGATGCATGCGGATGTCAGACTTTATGGGGCACTGTTTTATACGCCCTCCAATATGTTCTATAATATATGATTCGGTTGGTTTTTATGTGTGGTTTGACTATTCTTCTTATTAAAGAACAACTCTATAAATGTGATTTGTTTTGTTCTTACTTATTTTATTATAAAAAAACTATTACATATTTACACGAAATCTTTAAGTAAAACATATGATCAAATATTGCGAAAATGTCAACGGCATCGTACATAATGAAACTGAGGTAGTATACATGCACGTTGATACACTGTTTTATGCACGTTGATCAGGTACGGAACACAAGGACTGTAAATCGTACTGGACAACCAACAGGCTACAAGCTCATACCTGGTTCAAACTGTCTTCCGTTGGCCCTGCCTGAGGCGAAATTCCTGAGAAGAGCTGGATTCTTAAAGCATAATCTTTGGGTTACATCATACAAAAACGATGAGATGTACCCTGGAGGAGAGTTTCCTAATCAGAACCCACGAATTAATGAAGGTTTAGCAACATGGGTAAAACAGGATAGATCCCTAGAGGAAACCAACATAGTTCTCTGGTAAGTTGTCACCTCCTAATAATTGCTATAATAGAAAAATATGTAGTGTAAACTCCATGTACAATGTAAACCTGAAAATAAATGTCTAAGATTTGTCCATGTTATCTTTGGTAACTTTTTTACTTCCAAGTTTAACCATTGAGTAAACATTTGTACTAGGAATAAAAAAACTTACTTATGGTGATGTGAATAAATGTCCATTTGTGTATCCTAAGTATACATATTTTTCCATCTATAATGGCATGACTAATAAAACACATGTTTTGCAACTGCAGGTACGTTTTCGGGGTTACCCATGTCCCAAGGCTCGAAGACTGGCCTGTAATGCCAGTGGAACACATCGGCTTCATGCTGAAGGTACAAGTTCAGCCTAATTGGTTTCTTTTCTGCTTTATTCACTGCATGATTTCGATTAGCTTCTGTTTCGAATAGATAGTTTTCTTGTCGTACATTGCTCCAGATAACATTACAACTCTGAACAATGGAACCCATATTGTTTTGGTTATACTCCAGCCAGATGGATTCTTCGACTGCTCACCTGCGATCGACGTGCCTCTTGGATCTGAAGTACACACAAAGAATGGGTGGATAAATTATTGAGAGATCATTGAATGGGCGAATGATATAGTTTATATCAATGAGCTACTACAAAATAACTTAGCACTTATTTATGCAATGCTAATAAGAAAGTTTGTTGTTATAAATCATACTTTTAAAGGCGTGCTATTGATAATCCATATCACCGTATGTTGATCACAGCTGTTAGTAATATGTCCTAACAATTATAGACACGATTATATCACATACCATGTAATGAATTTATGAACAAATTGATATTCTGTTCCTTATAATAGATAATGTAATTTTAGTCGATAAGTATGTGACTTATTCATAAGGCTTTTAAGTGATATGTTACTATCTTTAAATAATCTATGATTATATATTATGTACGAAACAAAGATGATTATGAGATTTTCATGGACCATTGTAGACCCAACTTGAAACACCACAAGAATGGCTTGTTTACATTGTGTTAAGAATTAGCCTATCTGTTCCCATGTGATCCCACTATCCTCACCACTAAACGTAGTAAACTCAGGGATTCTAAAACCACGGGGATATGGGATATTGTAAAAATAATCATGATATATTTTCAGTAAATCCTAGCCCAATTGCTTGGTACAATTCTAAACGCTTTTCTAATGATATTTCTCACATGGTATTCCATTATCTGAGGCCTTGGTTGTAGATTTTGTGACCTAGGAATTGGTGGTTGCAGCGCAATATGATTATATTGGCCATAAACATCATTAAGACCATTGTAAAAATTCGGAATGGGTAGAGGAATAGCCAAATAGGTGGAATACCATTAGTAACAGAGCCTACTTGTTGATTAGGTGATGTATAATGGTGCAAAACATAATTATTGGTAATGGGATCAATCTCCTTGTCGATACTAGGAATCGGCAATATGAAAAGGCGGTAGCTCACGAGAGCTAACATAGATGGGTTGTGAGACAAGGGTTTAGATAGGTCTTCTCGAAGAGAAGTAATTCCCGACCTCTGTTTAGGGAGTAGAAATCGTCAAGCGTTGTATTGATCTAACAATCTTGGTGTTGGTTGTGCCCTTGAGGGGCCTCTTACCCGCCTTATATAGATCAAGGGGCAGGATTATAGATAAAAACCTAACCGAATACATTATCTACTTTACAATATTACCGAACTAAGACTTTCGGCCGTTTCCTTAATACACAAGGAAATGTAATACCCAACTCATAATCTGCTACATACTCCAGAGATATAACCTATACTCTACAGATATAAGTATATAACCTATCCTCTATAACCAGTCGGATAGACCAATCGTGTTGGTATATGGTACGTACCGATAATATCCAAAGTCGCCTCTGAGACCTTCACTGTTGTAAAGATAATCTAATCTTACACCTAATAAATCCAAAGTTGTGTGCTTCAATAACCTTCGCAATAGTGTCACGAAGGGCTGAAAAAAAATAAGAACTAAAACAATATACCTAGGTGCATTCATTGAATAGATGCGCCTAATTAGGTCTAGCCCCGACTATGTGGTTAGTCAAACAAACTAAGTATATAGAAAAAAGAATTTAACCAACCTAGTAGTTTCTAATAATTATAGTCAGCCGAGTGACTAAGCATAGCATATGCAATACAAAGACCCAGATAATATTATCAGAGTTACAATACAGACTACTAAATATAAATTATATTGCATAAAGCATAAAACCGACTATATAACAAAATGTCTCAAACAATAAAACCTATGTATAGAAAGTTAAATATATGGCATAAAATCCGAATAAAGTAATACTCATAAATAGATTTACCAACCTCCATAAAAATGGCCAAAATATATAATTAGCACAAAGCCATAATATTGGTCTTTTTTTAGAAAATGCACACATATGTGGCCCAAAGCAATGATATTGTATCCAATCATCTGCTTGATATATAAATCCAAACTATGTCATTAACTTATATAAAAAAGTTACAAACAGCTATATATAAAGTTTCGTTGTTTGACACCTTTAAAATTGCATTGTACCAACTCCAAAAAGTTATATAACAGCGTTACAAAAGAAATTTTAAGGTATTGGGAAACTGAGCACATGTATTTTGCTAAAAGCAAAAATGCCATAGGTCCCACCTGAAAAGATATGGGTTGTGAACTCTTAATGGCCCACGACATTGTACATCGTCTTCTCCACCTCTTTGACTCCAAAAATTTCATATTCCGCGCTCCTATTCACCACTGTCGCCGCCGAAGCTAGGGCTTGCGATTTCCATGCATCCATCCTCTAAAACCAAGAACCAATCCACTCCCAGAGCAGATGTGCTTCACCACATTCAGTTTCCCCTCAAATCTTATGCCAAAAACCCTAGTCCGGAGCTTTTCGAACCCATCCATGGCGGGAGGGAAGGAAATCCCTTTCGAGTAGTGGGCGACTTATGATGTGAAGGAATCGACGCTAAGGGTGATGGTGAAGGAAGGAGTGTTGTCGGAGAAGGAGATCATCAAGTGGCAACCGGCACACAACGAGGAATTCCCTAAGCCAAATACCGGAGAAATTGTGTATTCGGTCCTTTTTTTACAGTGCTTTTAATCTTCCAACTTCCACATTCTTCTGTGGTATTTTTGATATTTACAGAATTAGGATTTATTATCTGAACCTTAACTCTATTCTCCACATTGCCGTCTTTATTCATATGTGTGAAGCCTTTTTGGGCATTCGACCCCATTTCAGCCTCTTTTGCCGAATATTCTCTCTCAAAGCCCACCATTGCAAAGAAAACCCATGCCTAGTTGGTAGTTCTAATTTCCAATTGCATGGAAACCTCCAGAAACACTACTTCTCTCTTCCTTTGAAATCTTCAGACAAGGGCTGGAATTCCAATTGGTTTTACATCTCAAATCTAGTTCCTTGCCTTCCCGCCATTGTCGGCCTTCCTCCAGTCCATTTTAGCCAGGAGTCATTTACTTGATTCAGGCTAAGACCTTGCTAAAGAATATCATGGAAATCAAGGAATCTGGCTTACTCGGGGAACAAGTCACTCGACATCTTATAAAGTGTCGGCTGACCCCAATCAAGGAGAGATCAAAGCCAACCTTCAAGTATGAGGGCTAGACTAAACCCAAACGAGAAGATGAAGATTCTATTGCTTTTGACATCATGTGCTCCTGGATGTACCAGGTCTTCTCTTCTTGGATTGTTGTCGACTATGGCCACAAGCTGCCAGTCGCCCCATATAGCTTAAGGAGACCTCTATCTTCTCTTGTATATTCTCAATCTTTAATAAATGAATAGCCAAGTGATTATTGTCTTTAAACCTTTTGTAGGAAAATACCACTTTCATGTCCAACCTTTGACTATGGCTCGAGCATCCCCTTGAAGATGCTACAATCAAACCAACTCAAAGGAGAAAGAGTCAAGCCGAGGAACCACCAACCGATAAAGTTGGGAAGAAAGTTAGGTAACTCCGCATTGAAGAATCTGATGAAGATGAAGATCAAGCTGCGGGTACAAATCCTAGCCGGGAACCATGTGCTGACACTACTGAAACACAAAACAAAACCTAAAAGGGCAATCCCAAAATTTAGGACGTCTTGCAGGTATGCACAGAAAAACTTGACTTCAAAGATCCTGATTTGACATGTCGAACAAGTGCTACGTGCAACCCCTTTGTGTTAATGTTTCTACGTTCTGTATTTGTTTTGTGAGCAGGGAATAGCAGAACATTGACCCATCTGGTCAATCTAAAGCTGCTAGCCACTCGCAGCCGAAAAAGAGCTCGGCCATTAATGAAGAGCCCCCAATTGGAAACCAGTCGAATCCAACAGGCGAGCCAGCGGCTAATGAAGCATCTTTAGAAAGTGGACCTGGAACAGCTGGTAATGACCAAACCCACCAAGAGCCGTCATCCGAAGACCAGCCGGAACAAGGGCCCTAGAGCCAGGAACCCTCGACTAAAGGTGGCCCCCAAAATAAAGGAGGTGACGATGAAGAAATCCCACTAGTAGGTCAGACCACTGGGGCCGAGGAAGAGCCTCAAACTGGAACAACTTCTGAGGTGGCTGCCAGTGAAGAACAAGCCGAAAAGGTCCAGGGGCCTCCTCGCAAACGACCAGCAATCGTCCTAGGTAGGCTTATCGCATCTTGACATCTCTGAACCACACAATTTTCTTGAATTTGACGATGTTTGATCCCAAATCCATGATTGGAGAAAATAAGGAAACCCTTCGCTTAAAATCGACTGAGGACTCACGTTCCTCGATGAAGCTACAATGGAGGGACTTAGAGGGCAAAGCACACGGAATCGTGCTATACAAGCAGAAGGAGGAAGAAGAAGAAGAACTCCTTCTCATGATCAAGAACCTCAACAAGCAGTAGGAGTGATTCGATGCGAGGTGTTGGTTGTTCGTTTAGTTGATGTGCAGCCCATAACTCACCAACCTACCTCCTCATCCACTTACCATTGTTCGTTAGTTTATGTGTGCAGCCCAGAACTTCTTGGTCCCATAGGGTAGTTATGAACTCTCAGGCCCATCAAGCCCACATATATAAATCATATAAACATAAACCATATCATCTTGCTTCACACACTTGAAAGCTAATGGCCAATACACTGAAAGCCCTGCAGAAGTTTAATCAACTGAAGCAATATACGGCCAGATTCAATAAATCGATCGTGTGGAGGGGTGAAACTATGTCATTCTTATTGACACAAGGGGGTTAACACAAATTTAAATAAACGAAAACCATAAATATATCCATATGTCTAACTCGACCATAAACAGGTTCATAAAACCAACCACATGCAGTCCATCATGTGTAACCAACCGCTCACATGCGGTGTCAACAATTCTCGGCATACAGCCATAAACAGTTCTATAACCATGCATTCACATGCTATTAACAATATCCATATTAAGTCAATAGCATGCTAAATAATTAACAATTCTTTTAGGTGTTTCTCAAATTTTATCATAAGCTTGTTAGACTTTAAGGCTCATTAAGATGTCGTCCATAACAACAACAGAAAAATAAGCAATAATAGTAAAATAATAAATTTAAAACAACTCATGCGGTTAATGGGATTAAATTATTCAATTGCGGGTGCATGTCTTGCAACCTTCAGGCTCGATGTAGTCGTACAACCCGTCTCCTCCTAGCTCGGAGATTTCACTCGCTCCAACTACGGGACCAATATTGGCGTTTTCTATTTATGAAACAA